GAGCGGGAATGGTAGGGTACACCTCAACAGCTTTGGGGTGCTGTGTCTGCCTTATGCCCCATCGTCGTGGAGAACCCACGCCCCGAATTTTCGTGCCCTGGGTCTCAGTTCAAAGCCCTCAGGTCCAGGACGCGGGCTTTAGCCCAGTTCAGTGGCGCGGGAATGGCGCCTTTTGCACCCCGCTCCCGTGCCTGGGCGCCTGGTTCCTGCTTACTCAGGGAGGGACCTTCACCTCAGTGAGGACCTCCGCGAGTCTCCCCGCAAGCCTAGGTCGCAGGCGCGGGGACCTGGGCCGCTGCGATCCCGGTCCGTGTTTTCTTTTCAAGCGCGCCAAGCGCGCCACTTTCCCGCGCAAGCTTACCGGCAGCCCGGGCTGTGTGCGTGTCTCCCGGGATCTTTGTTCTTCTCTAATGGCGCCCGGAGCCGTTCGCTCACCGCCGCGGTGGATCCTGCAGGGTTCGCCTCAGCTCCCGTTCACGGGGTGTGGTGGCTGCAATAGTTCCTTTCCACTCACAGTCCCGCTTGCTGCGTCCGTCGTTTGTTCTTGTGGGTCGTTTTAGTTTGTTGTTTTCCTCCTCTCTGCGGGTCGGAGAGTGCTGCCTCTGTGGGCGGGGGAGGGGAGCAGGGTTCTGCGCTTCCCTCCCTTCTGGTCCTCTTTTCTGGCAACTTTCTTCTTTGGGCAGTTTGCTGGCGTCACCCATTTATCTTCCGTGTCCCGGTTCTCACTGGGACCTGCCGCTTTTCCTCCCTATTAACTTTTTTTAATGGGAGATCTTACTCGCAGCGTCTCCTCACCGCCATGTTGCTCTGCCCCCTCCCTCTGGATCATTTTTCAAACCTGTGAGTGATTGGACCATTTTGCACCAGTCAGATAATATCTCACATCTGTTTGGTCTCCTCCATGATCCAGGAAGGACTCATAAAAGTGCGTTTGCTGGGCTCTCAGGAGAAACTGCCACAATTGGCTTGTGGTGGAGCAGCAGGAGAGAGAGAGGACAGCACTGCTGTTCCTGGCTCCTTCCACTGAGGTGGCTCAGTTCCAGTATCTTTACTACTCAAAGAGCAGTCCACAGACCAGCACCTACAGCACTAATATCACGCTTGATAGAAAAGCTATAATGCTAGAGATGTCAGGTTCTCTGGCTTGCAGGTCCTGGGGAAGCAGATTTTGCATTTGCAGTATAACAGGGTGGCAGGTGATCCCAAAACAAAAAAATTTCATTAAGGTCATGGAAAGTCAACATAGGGTCAATGAAGATCCTTCAGAATTGTTAGAAAGATTAATGCAGGCATATCACAGACACAGATAAAGATCCTGAAATTCTGGACAATTCTAGAATGGTGACTGTGTTCTTATGTTACTTTGTGTCCCTGATATATGGAGAAAGTTGAATAAAATTGACATTGCTATGGAAAAGGCTACTTCCAAGTTAGTGGGCAGAGCCTATAGAGCATATAATGGAAGAGAGTCATTTGAGGAAGCTATGCTTGCTTCTCAGCCTTGGACTGGACCAGGAAAGTGAGGGACATGGATGGAGACATGTCCATCCATGGACATTGGAACACAGATGGGTGAGAGACCTATGGAGAGTCTGAAAATGACAACCCCCTTTCTCTAGATTTTGATTTTGCTCCTTTCATCCCACAATTGCCTGTCCCTTTCTCACATTTCCTGTGTCATGAACAGAAGGTGCCTTAGGTTTGTGTGAAGGTTTTGGGACTCAGTAGACTTGCTTGTCTGGACATTTTTTTGGCTGGACATTTACCAACAAAGGGATGGGTAACATTGTGTGCCACATTTGGAAACTATATTCTTTGCCTTTTCTTCTCTCCATCTCACACCAAATGTGTTAAATTCCCTTTTCTTTAAACATCTTACAAACTAGAGTATGTTTTGTCATAATGCAGTGGGTGGCAGAACCTATGTAGAGCAGGCAGGTTTGGGGTCTCGAGGTGCCCCTCAAACTTCCCTGTAACAGAAGTAAGCCAAGTGCTGATCTAAATGGGTTTTCTTACTCTCACTATTGAGAATTAGGGCAGAATAAAATTGATTGGGGTCATAGGAGACCCTAGGCAATGGTTTGTAGGTGTCAGCAAAAGCCCATCAAACACTGTCAAATATTCCCAAGGGGAAAACTCATTTCAGGTTGAGAACTAAAACCCAGAAATTGAGTACTGGAGATAGCCTCACATACTTCAATTAAGGGCATTCACTTTAATGGATTTAACTTTGGGCAGGTGACTAAACCCCACCACAAACCCAGTCTGCAATTAAGAATAGAGTTCATAAATGTACTTCCTCAAGGAATGGATGTTCTTAAAAAATTCAATCACAGACAACCCATATGATTCTAACATCAGGTTAGTGTAGATAAAACAACCTACATAATATATATTTGATAAACACTATAAAGAGGGATTAAATTACAGCTATTAATGTGACAAGTAAAAAGCTTCTCATCGTTTTAGCAAAGCATCATGAAGTTTAGGAGTTCAGTGCCATGTTCTATTATCATAAGAAGTTAGCTTGATTCCCTGCTGTGAAGGATGACAGAACTGTCTGGATATTAGGACTTATGTTTCCAGCACAAGTCAAAACTTTGAATACATGAGGGACCTAACCTATACCCATTCCCATGGAGAGTCTGACAATGACAACGTTTCTCTTGATTTTGATTTTGCTCCTTTCATCCTACAATTGCCTGTCCCCTTCTCACCTTTCGTGTGTTGTGAACAGAAGGTGCCGTACACTTGTGGGAAGGTTTTGGGACTCAGTGGAAAAATTTAACTTAGAAATCTGAAAATGCACTAAGAAATTTAGAGACCTAAAAGAAAGCAAGCTCATAGTGAGTGGAAAAAATGGAATTAATTTGCATTCTAACCTGAACTCTAGGGAACAGGGAAAACTCATTGCTGTCCAGAAAGTTTTCCACAGGGAAATTGTGAGCTAGAGGTTGGAGTAACAAGAGAAAATGTGACTAATGAGCAGATAGAGTTGTAAACACATTGCTGACAACTGGCATATATAAACTTTGGCAGGAAGGGGCATGCTTTCGTTGTGTGTGTGTGTTTGTGTGGAGTCCTATTCCTGCTTCAGGGACATAGTGTTCACACCTCCCTGCTGTCTCATCTGGGTACAGAGCTCAGGTTTCTGTCACTTCCATCCAATAAGGAATTCAGATCTCCACATAAGACCCTCCCAGAGACCATGTCCAGGTGAGCCCAGCAACCCAGTTGACCCTCAGGAGAGAGAAATGAGGCCAAGAACATTTATCTGTTTCATCTGAGAGGGGATTTACCTTTACCCAAATGCGAGAGAGTCCTGTGTTTGTTAATTTGCTTGATTAAATCTGAATGTATTTACTTCAATGGCTGTGTAATGTTTCACAGTGTGAAATGCATGTTGATCATTTTGATATCATTAAATTATTAGTACCAGTAAATTAAAAATTACTCAGAAAATATGTGGAGATTAATCTAAAGCATGGTTCTAAGTGGGCAACTTTGTTCCTCAAAGACACTGAACACTGTTCACAAACATTTCAGCCTCACAGTGAAGTGCAGGGGGAGGTGCAGAATGCTCCAAACATTTTACAATGCACAGGACAGACTTCACCACAGAGAATGACCTGACTAAATGTCACTCGTGCTGACACACACAAACACAGCCCATTTCCTATTGTGCTTACAATATGTAAGATATTTATCCTAAATAGATTATAAAAATATCAGTTTCTTACTTGACAAAAGTTAGTATATGTTGGGTATCAGAAAGTACAACGAAGGTGGAGAAGTACACTCAAGCCCAGTCTCTCAGCACCCACCTCGATTATACACTTAATCACTTCTCGCCCCCTCTGCTCCACTTCTACCAACCCTCCTCTCCCTCTTCTCCCATCTCTCCTCCTCATCCTGCTTCTGTCCCCCGCCCCTCATTCAGTAATATGGCTTTTTGTTTTATTGTTAGATTTTTATCTGTGCAGATGGCTTCACTTTTTTTTTTTTTTTTTTGGTGGGACCCTCGCTAGAGGCCGGGGAACGAACAGGCACTGCAGAGGCTGCGGGCAGCCCCACAGCCCAGCACTCAACCGCTGTGCCACCAGGGGAGGCCCGATGGCTTCACGTTTTTACTTGAATCAAGCATCTTCTCAGGAACTGACTGTGCACTGGCTGTTCCCACTGCTGGCTACACACTTCCCCTCATATCCTCGCATCCCCATTCTCTCTCTACTTGTGCTTTTTTGTTCAAATGTGGCACTTATACAGGTCTGTCTAAAAACCCAAGAAACCCTAAAGCCCTCTTCACTCTTCTTTTTATAGTTGGTTTCCTTTATATCTTCCCAACTGTCCCTTCTAGAATATTATTAAATTTTTTTAAAATTTATTTATTTATACAAGAACTGGGGTACAGGTCAGATGTGCGGGAGGGTGAGCAGATTCACCAGAGACAGAGCCGGGAACAGAAAAGGCAGACTGACTGAAATACACTGCTGAGGGGAGCAGCAGGCAGGAGAAGTTTGTCTGGCCATGTGGGTATCTCTGGCTGGCAGGGATCAAACTGACACTGCAGAGGCTGCAGACAGCTTTACAGCGCTGTGCTCAACCACCTGTGCCACCTAGGAAGCCCTAAAATGTTATATAATTTTATTGCTTGCTTCTACATTTTTTTCTACCATTGAATTGGAATATCATTGTACAATGCCCTAAACTCTTTGTCTAGAGTGTGCCTAAAGCACAGTCAGGAATCAATTTACATTCTTGAACTAAAATAATTTATTAGTAAAACTGTATAACACACAATCCATGGGGAAAAATTTGATTTGGACAGAAATTCTATATCAGAGGTGTCACTGAGTATCCCCTAGAGGAAATCACACACAAAGCATTATAATTAACTTCTTATAAAAATATAAATGGAGACATATCAGGTAGGTTTGTAACAAAAGTTTATAAAAATAAATCTTGTTATTTCCCTTTTTCCTGTAAGTCAACTGCACTACATGAAACCAATCAATGATACACAAGTTTCAGAATTTCTCCTGCTGAGATTTTCAGAGGCAGCAGAACTCCAGCTCCTCATACTAGGACTATTCCTCATCATGTACCTGATTACTGTGTTTGGAAACCTGCTCATCATCCTGGCTGTCAGCTCTGATTCCCACCTCCACACCCCCATGTATTTCTTCCTCTCCAACCTGTCCTTTGCTGACATCTGTTTCTCCTCCACCACCGTCCCCAAGATGCTGCTGAACCTCCAGACACACAGCAAAGCCATAACCTATGAAGGCTGCATCACCCAGGTATATTTTTTCTTACTGTTTTTAGGGTTGGATGTCTATCTCCTCACCGTGATGTCCTATGACCTCTTTGTGGCCATCTGCCACCCCCTGCATTACATGGTCATCATGAATCCCCGGCTATGTGGGCTGCTGGTTCTGGTGATCTGGATCATCAGTGTTCTGTATTCCTTAATACAAAGCTTAATGTTGTTACGGCTGTCCTTCTGTACAAATGTGGAAATCCCACACTTTTTCTGTGAACTCAATCAGGTGATCAAAATGGCCTGTTCTGACACCTTTCTCAATAACCTGATGATATATTTTGGATCAATCTTACTGGGTGGTGGTTGCCTCTTTGGTATCCTTTACTCTTACTCTAAGATAGTTTCCTCCATCCGTAGAATCCCATCTGCTCAGGGCAAGTATAAAGCATTTTCCACCTGTGCATCTCACCTCTCAGCTGTCTCCTTATTTTATTGTACAATCCTTGGAGTGTACCTTAGCTCTGCTGCTCCCCAAAGCTCACGTTCAAGTGCAATAGCCTCTGTGATGTACACTGTGGTCACACCCATGCTGAACCCCTTTATCTACAGCCTGAGGAACAAAGATATAAAGGAGGCTCTGAGAACATTCATTTTAAAGAAAACTACAAAAAGATAATTGTCCCAAGGTAGAAGAAGAACCCATAATTTTAGACAATAGAGGTTAATAGAAATTGGGCTTAACTGATCAAACTAAGAAGTAGAGCATGTTCTTTTATTTTATTCTTTTATTGTGGAATTTCCTCTTATACCTCAATTTCTCTATTCAAATATGTAACTCACTTTATTGAACTTTTTATTCTTTCTAATCTCTAACAGCTTTTTTCTCTTTGGTTTTCCAACTTTATCAAAATTATTCAAAACTTAAATCAGAAAAATGTAGATAAGAGAGACAAAATGGATGTTTTAGAATATTTTTTCACAAATGTCATGTATCATACCAGATACTTTGTTGCAGTTAAAAGTCATCAAGTCTGCATAGGGGCCTCCCCGGTGGCGCAGCGGTTGAGCGCTGGGTTGCGAAGCTGCACGCGGCCTCTGCGGCGCCGGTTCGATCCCCGGCTGCTCCCCGGCCACCGGAGGAGGGTCCCACATGGCGTGCAGACCTCTCCTGCCGCCCGCTGCTCCCCTCAGCAGTGTACTTCGGTCCTTCTGCCTGCTCTGCTCCCCGCTCTGGCTCTGGTGAATTCTCTCACCCTCCCGCGCTTCTGACTGTACCCAGTGCATGTATGAACAGAACAAACAAACAAACCAGCAAACAAATAAATAAAGCATGCCTCTATTAAAAAAAAAAAAAAAAAAAAGTCATCAAGTCTGCTACTTCTAAAGAAAACAACTATGCATTGTGACCAAGGAAACATATATAATTTTGTAACAGAGATAACAGAGGAAGAACAAAAACAAAGCTTTTCAGATTTGAGTATGTCATCCTTTTGTGCTCACTACATTAACCAACTTTCTGACAACAAAGATGCTAATATACAGTGGGCTCCATACATACTAGGTTTTATTCACCTCCTTAGAATCCTGTTCTCCTTCAGCTCAGTGCATGAAAAGCCCCTGTTAGTCCACATCAACATGATTATCACACATTTGAGTCTTCACCAAGACTCATTTTAATAACTTAATATGATCTTAGAATCATATATAATCAATATGGTGGGAAAAAATTAAATCGCATATTATATTACAATACAAAATAATTGTGTTTCATGCAGCACATCTACATCTTCAAATATGGAGGATTCATATCTGGTGTAAGGGTGTAAATAATGATTGGAATTGCAAAAAAAAAATCTGATTCATTTGTTGTCATTCTCTGCTCACACAGTTTTTTGTTTTTTGGGTTTTTTTGTGGGACCCTCGCTGGTGGCCGGGGAACGAACCAGTGCTGCAGAGGTTGCGGGCAGCCTCGCAGCCCAGTGCTCAACCGCTGTGCCACCAGGGGAGGCCCTGCTCACACAGTTTTGATGCTACTAAAGCTGGGGCTGCTTTCTTAGGTCTAAAGGAAATAGACCCCTTCTCATTTTTTGCATAAGGAAAAGGATAGTGATTTAATGCTATGATATCATCACACTTTATATATATAATCTCCATTGCACAAGGGATTCTATCATCTTTTATGATGAAAGGATGACTATGAGAGAACTTAAATTCCTGTCCAGTCATGGATTCAATTTCACTAGTTTTACTACTAAAAAACACCACCTCTCCTAGTTACCTGAAATTACCTGCATAGAATTTTTAAATACAGTCGTATCAATTAGGTATAACAATGAATGCCAAACAAAACCCAAACCAGTGCATATTATTATATTAATAATTCTCCTCACTTCTATTCACCTTCACTGTAATATCAGTTAGCTACTACTGACAGACCATCCTACATGTAAGTGAGTTAATATCAGGCCTTGAGGACCAGAAAGAATGTGTGATGAGCCATTCTGCCCAGGGCTCCACAGGTAGCTTGAGTCTCTACTTTGTGTTTCTGAGGTTCATCCAGGGTGGTGCCTGTGCCAGGGGGTCTCTCCCTGAAATATATGCTCAGTTCACCATTTTTATGTACCTGCTTTCATGTTCTATTTTTGCAGAAAAAGAGTTTCAAATGTGAGTTTCTTTCACTTATTTTTGTGGTTCCTATTCCATATCTTAATATTTTCCTATGTTCTCAAGTAGAAGTGATAGCTTTCACCTCTGTTCACTTTGAATCAGTCACCTGTCTGTGTATCATACTCTGACCAGGCATTTAAAACTTTTTCCTTTTAAGTAATTTATTAAACATGAAAAATATAATTTGTGCCTATTTACAATGTACTTTGTGATGAATAGAAAGAGCCATACAAAGCTACAATATACAATATACATGTTGTATATTTCCATTTGTGTCTAAATAAAGTGTACCATGAGATTTAATGGCATTTGGGGAACTTTGAAAAATGTATTCTCCCAGAACCTCAATTTCCTTTTTACTGAAGAGAATTTGAGTTAGGAAATATCATTTTAGATGACTGTTGCAAGATAGAAATCAAATCAATGGACATATTTTGCTGAAAACAAAATTAAATATTTAAAGTATTTTCCATGTATACATGTATATTTATTTGCACATAATTTTATTGTTATAAACATACACAAATATATGTACAGAACAGACTCAAATAATCTCATATTGAAAGGAAATATTGAAAGTTGAAAGGATAGAAACAAAAAGAATTTATGAATTAACATATAATTAAAAGTATACAGTAGTTTAACACAAAGACAGAATTGTTTTTATTTTTTATTTTATATATATATATATTTTCCATTGCTCTTGTGCAATGTATGCTTTCTCCTCTCAGGTATAGACCCTGTGGAATTCCCACCACCAGTTTACCCATGTCCCATCACCATAGTCTCTTGTATTCTTCCCACCACTCTTTTGATTCTTCACCCTCCTCCTCCCCTGCAGAATGTCACTGATTTATAAATTAAAACAGCATAGTATTTCTAAATTCCTTTTATGAGTGAGACCATCCAGTATTTTTCCTTTTCTTTCTGCTTATTTCGCTGAGTATGATCCCTTCCAGGTCCATTCATGTTGGTGTAAATTGCATGAGTTTATCTTTTTTGATTGCTGAGTAATATTCCATTGTGTATATGTACCACATCTTCTTGATCCAGTCATCTATTTTTGGGGATTTGGGGACCAGGTAAAAACCTAATGACAATAAAGTAAAAAGCAAACTCAAAAAGCAACTATAAACCAGAGACACATTATGGGGTGGGGAGGGAGTAGGATCAAAACAAGGGGGGTGGGAATTGTATGGGGACTATAATCAAGATGAAAATACATACATTGTGCAAAAATGAAAAATTATGTAAAAAATGTATAAAATAAATAAATAAATAAAACAGCACAGTACTGTATGGTGGATAACATTTAAAGGATGAATTACTTTTTTCATCTTAATGCCACACAAGTGTCAGTCTTTATTCACATTTATTTACTATGAATTATATTTATTGAGTGAAGCTGACTTAAACCACAGTGTAGGTCTTATGGGTATAGGCTTACACCTCAAAACCTGCATGTTATTTCACCATATTGACCACCTCAAAACCTGCATGTTATTTCACCATACTGACCACCAAACCCCAGATATCCTCCATTAGACCCACTCTCCCCTCTACTCCAGCCACACCATTCCCCTTTCTGGGATCCTCACTCTTAGTTCAATGTGCTCTTCACCCTCCTGTTTTCACCCCATCTTCTTCTTCAACCCTCCTGAATGCCCCAGATCTATGGTCAGATTTCAAGACTTTGTCTTTTTTTTGGTCTATTTTCTACATATTACTGAAATCATCCTGTATTTATCTTTGTCCTTCTGACTTATTTCACTTTTTGTAATCCATTCCAGCTATATCTATGTTGTCAAAAATGTGATGATTTATCTTTTTTAATCACGAGTACATGCCATATCTTATTCATTATTCTGTTTCATTCTTTGAGGTTGTTTCCATATCTTGGCAACTGGAAATTGTCATGCAATAAACAGAGGAGTGTACATTCCTTTTGACTTAGTATTTATATTTCTTTGGGTAGATTCTTAGGATTGGAATTGCTGGGTCATATGACACATCCTTATTAGTGTTTAGAGGAACTTCAACATAGTTGAACATAGGGTCTGAACCAGTGTACATTCAACCTACTAAGGAGGGACCTTGTTCCCCACTCCCACTCCAGCACTTACTGAATTTGGTGTTTTTATTATGGTCATTCTTACAGGTGTGAGATGGTATCTCATTGTGCTTTTGATCTACATTTCCTGATAATAAAAAATGAACATATTTTCATATGTCTATTGGCTATCTGCATGTCTTCTTTAGAGGAATGTCTACTTAGCTCTTCTGTCCTATTTATGATTGGGTTGTTTGTTTAGTTATATAAGATCTTTGTAAATTTACAATATCAATCCCTTGTCAGAAGTATGATGTTCAAATATTTTTATCTCAGTCAGTAGGATGTCTCATTACTTTGGTTACTGTTTTTCATGCTCTAAAGAAGGTTTTTAGTTTGATGCAGTCCCAGGTTTTTATATTCTTTTTTTCCTTGCTTCCTGAAATGTGTCATCAAAGATATATATATATATATATATATATATATATATATATATATATATATATATATAGTGGGACCCTCGCCAGTGGCCGGGGATTGAACTGGCACTGCAGAGGCTGCGGGCAGCCTCGCAACCCAGAGCTCAACCGCTGTGCCACCAGGGAAGGGCCCAAAAGATATTTCTGAAATTTGTGTCATGTAGTGTTTTCCCTCTTTCTTTTATATATTATATAGTTTTTTTTTTTTTTTTAATATTAAATTTTATTTTTATATTCACCCATACAATTGCAAACGCCCCATTCTGACCCCAATCCTTCCCCTCCCGCCCCCCACCCCCAAAAAGTGTCTCTGGTTCATAGTTTTTTGTTGATTTTGATTTTCACTTTCTTATATTCATTTTCCTGGTCCCTTATTTAAGTTTTCTAGATTCCTGCTATGAGTGAGACCATCCGGTATTTTTCTTTTTCTTTTTGGCTTATTTCGCTGAGCATGATCCCTTCCAGCGCCATCCATGTTGC